AGCTTGTATTATTAGCTTACTCTATATTCAATGTAAACTTATTATGAAATTCCAGCGTTAAATAATTATAACTTCTTTGTGGCGCAGTAGTAAATACATTTCCCATTAGATATTCATGAATAAAATTAAATTAACGTATGAAATTTGCGTTTAAGTGTTATGTAACATTGTTCAAGTCAAAAATTTTCACGAGAAATACATTTGAGGCAAAAGAATAATATTCTTTAAAGAGAAAACGCATTCGCGCATACGTTATTCCATTAATCTTTTTACAGAGAAAAAGGAGAAGACAAAAAAAATTTATACTTATTATAAATAATGATCTCTATTAAAAATAAATTATTCGTCAAAGAAACTACATATAGTATTAAAAATGTTATTATATATTTATATAAAATAATAAAAATTCGAACTTTATTATGTCATTTATATACTTATTTTCAATAATTTATATAAAATAATAAAAATGCGAGCTTTATTATGTCATTTATATACTTATTTTTAATAATTTATTTTCACATATTAAAATTTGGAATATAGAATTTACATATGTACAGCATCATAGAAAAAATAACATTAATAATAATATTACGATAAAACAATTTTACAACGGTTGATCAAGGGACAAAGATATTAAATAAGATGTAGTGTTAAATATGAAAGGTATGAAGAAAAATAATTATAAAAACTACGAGATAAATAAGAGTGAAATGAACGGAAAAGAAAATATATGAATGAGAGAGAGAAAGATGTAAAAATAAAGAAAAATATATAGCGCTGCATTAGTATTCGAGAACTTTTTAGACAGTCAATTGAAGCCAACGATTTCGCAGATGTATTCTTACTTCAACAGCGAGGCGACAGAATGTATAATTCCCAAAAGATTAAACGTGACATGGATTCAGTAGGACTTCTCCTTGCATATATTTTCATTCTCGCCGCTACAACTCACATATTTTTGCTCTAACGTGACGTGTTGGCAATAAGGTTAAGATAAATTCTTCACAAATTTTCTTTCTTGTCACGCACACAAGGATTATTTTATATTTGTTATATAAAATCCGATCATTCTAAAAACCTGCTATTTCCTTGTTTTTTCAGGGACTTCAGTGAGAGCATTCACACCAATAATTGTAATGTATATTACATGGAGGACATTCAATAATATACAAAAGAACATTAATCTCTTATTTATCTTGTACATGTTTTAAAGGTTCTTTTTTTATATGAGAATTGCGCAAGTTGTGCCTGTCGGTACAAAAAAAATCATAACAGCCTGCACATATTGTAGAAATATTTATTTTGTATATTTGCACTAAAAAATAATACTACAAATTCAGAAACACAATGTTAAATTTTATCGATGTCAGTACTGTGTTTCAAAGCAGACAACTGTTTTTAATTAATTCGAAAATACCGTTCTATCACTCGAAACATTTGACACTTTTCTACTTGAATTTTATTATCAGCGTGTCTCATTTAAAGAAATATTTCTAACCGCGCATAAGAAATACCGTGTACACGGAGGGATTATTTAGTGCGCGAAAAGAACCCGTGCATAAAAAGTATCGCGTAAATCAAAGGATGAGTGTATTTTGCTATAATACTGCGTAAATAAATCATATCACTATACATATTTACCATACCGAAATAAAGTTTGCCGTGTCAATATCAACATTAATGAAGCCAATTACGCGAGCAAATCCCTCAACCTTTAAAACGCTCGCAAACAGCACTGCCGGCAGAGAAAGCAGTTTCACATGCATGCGCTTAATCTGCACAAGAAATCGACCCCTTTCGTCCCACCTTCTGCTCCAGCCCAAGGTCACACGTACGAGCCCCGAAAGGTTCTCCATCTTAGAAAGAGCTTCCTCGAGCTTGAGTTTTCAAGATTCGTCTATCTGATATTTCAAGTCCTTCAATCGATCGCGGTCGCTTTTCTCCCTTCCTCTCTCTCTCTCTCTCTTTCTCTCTCCATCTCACCCTTCCGCTAATATCCTAGGTACCTAATATCATTCACGTCGTTTAGTTAGAACACAACGCTTAGGCCGGCTGGCAGAAAACCGCGTCATGGAAATTAGTTAAAACCGCTGTCGCGTTTACCTCTTTCCCTTCTTATGGAAAAGCATTTATCAAGCTTCTCCACCGGCAAGATGAGACTTTACCGATATTGGTCTTTAAGGAGGACATTCCATCCCGTCATCGCCGCCAAACGGTTAGAAAATTGGAAGAGAAATGATATGTGGCTAGCGAACTAATTAAATTCGAAGAAACCGCTTCTCGGGATTACGAATTAATTATCATTTCTGCAATAAACTCTTTTATCAACAAGAATTCTGACTCCCGTAGAGAGAGAACCGTAAAGAAAACAAGAATTATAAGTCATTTAATTCTTATATAAAAAAATCTCTTATCAACTTTTTAAGTTATTCGCTTTTAAATTGAATAATAATTTAATAGTTCAAGGATATTTTGTATATACGAAATAAAGAAAATTTAATAAGAAAATAATATTTTTACCTATATCTTATAATTTACTTTATTTTAATAGTAGGAGTATTAAATATTAATTAATTAATTGTTTATTTAGTTAAAATATGCGACGTCGCAACTGGTTAGAGTTGCTATATTTTGCGACTGTGAAAAAGAGAAGAAAAAAATATTAACCGACCAGATATGAATCGAAACTGCAGCATCGAACAGGCCATCAATCATTTCTCTGGTTTCCAATTTTTCTCCCAATCGCGCTGCAGCGAGCTATCGAAATTTTTCATACTATCCGCGTGTTGTAATAACGTATTGCAAATATATAATGTAAATTTTTCAAATGGGACGTGTCGAAAGTTTTCCGTTAAAAATTCCAATACAACCGACGGATAACATTGAGTTGCCAAAAAATGTACAACTCCAAATTCGAAAATTCTATGAATGTATTCATCTTTACAAAATTTTATATACAAAAACATAGAATAGAACAATTCCATTAAAAGATTGTAACATATCTTTATTACCTAACATATATTTATAAATAAAAAGATAAATAATAAAGTTTATGAAAATATCTGCCAATATAATTTTTATCAAGATAAAGTTGCTTTCAAATCTTTCAATAAAGCTGCTTCAAACCTTCGCGAAATCTACAGAATTCAACCCCTCATAATCCTTTAGAAATTATTGATTTAAATTTCAAAAGAAAGGGAATCTTCTGCTTCCTTCCTATTTAAGTTTAATTCCTAAGAATCTTTCAGTCTCTCAAGTCGCTTTGTACCAAGAAACTAAAATTTAATCGTATATTCTGTTAAAAAATTATTACTGAGCAAAAATAGACACATGCACGCGAAAAATCATACATGAGAATCTTATTTTTATATCAAAAAGATATAGTCTCAAAGCACATATGTATGTATGTGCTAAATTATTAAAAAGAGATATTTTTATGCAAAAATGATTTTCATAAAATAATTATATAACATCAGAGAATTACGATTTTTCTTATTACAATTTATTCATGTACGACTGTGCAATTTGTGTTAAAAATTGTTAAAAAATTGATTCGACAGCGACCGTCGGTAACAGATATCGTTCGAAGATACGTAGACATGAACACTTTCTTTCAGGCCATATAGACCAAGTGGATACCGCTAACCAGTAAAAGTTACTAACGGTAAGTCAGAAAATATCACGACAAAAGTGTTCACTTGATAATATAACTGAAAAATGAAACATTTCAGAGCTCATAACTGGTTTCATAAGACATTTTAAGTAGAACAATTTAACACAAAGTTTGTGTATAAGAGAAAAATTAAAGTATAATAAAATTAAACAACTCTGTAAATAATACAAGATAAAATAAATTCAAAAAACCGAAAATATATGCAAAATATATGAATGCGTTGATACGTGTGCAAATTCATGTGAAAAGGCATCAATGATTCCTAGTGTACATACATCTGTAGTCAAAGAGCAAGTGATTTATTTTTGTTACACAATTGAAGACAGTAAAAACTAGCAACTTCCGTATAAACTTATAAGTAATTTACAAGAAACTGCATCTCGACAAGTCAAACATATGTATGTGCCGTATAAAATTATTTAAGACACACAATAAAAATCAGCATTAAAATGAATTAAAATGAATAAATTATGATACATTATGCTGTATACATTTTATATAATCAAGTCTTACTCTACATTCTCTACCATTGCCAATTGAAGGTCGTGAGATGCAGAAACGTAATGTAATAAACTTATAAGCTCTTCGCAAAGAGAAACGAATTATAATATTGTTAATTATAAAAAATATGATTTGGTTTTAACGTGAAGTTGTCATTTTTTTCCCTTGTAATTTCTTCTCTCCTTTAATTTCTTCGCGTAAATCCTTCTTTTATAAATAATATTAAAAATTTAAAAGTTTTACACAACGTAAACGAATAATAATATTTCTAAGAATTTTCCAATAAATGTAATAATTAATAATTGTTAAACGATCCTAAAACTTTTAGTTATCTTCATAATTTTAAATATGAGATTTCATTTCTTCCAATAACTTGTAATAATAATAATAATTTCACAATATTGTAATTTTAAGGTATTAATTTAAAATTATTTTATATTTTCAGTATTATTCTTATTTGCTTTAATCAACAAACAGGTAACAATTGAGAAATTATTATTTAATCATTTCGTGGGAAAATGAGTTAAAACTACAGCAAGAGAGGGAGAAAGTTTACGGAAAAGACACTTCTTACGTTTACTATTTTTCTCCCTCCTCCCTCTCTTCCCTGTCCCTCCCCCCCCTCTCTCTCTCTCTCTCTCTCTCTCTCTCTCTCTCTCTCTCTCTCCCTCTCTGTCTCCGTATCTGTCTCTTGCGCGCACGGGCGTATTCGTTTTTGCACAAGTGATAATTCATTACAACATCCAATGGCGGCACAGGTAAAAGTGGGGACTCACTCTCACTATTCACAAGCGCGACCGTGTCTCTCTCCCTCTCTTCACTTATAAGACTACTTTACACGAACGCACCTTTCGAGTTTATTAAATCCGCGAGTAACAGACGACAGTGCGTTGTGAGACGACAATTTTTCTTCGAATTCAGTGGAGAATATACAACCATGGACAATCATGTGGAAAACTTCGCTGTTCATGCTGGCTGTAACCCGAATTACGTGCCTTCTGCTATCGAGCTTGTAGAAAGTGAGTTTTGACAACATCCGGATGGTGCGGTAATTCCGACAATAAAGTCCGATTAACAGAATTTTCTCTTTTAAAAAAGAAATGGAAAACACAATGTCAGGTGTAGCAATTAGCATCTTCAGAATGAAATTAAAGGAAGAACTTAATCAATTTTCAATATAACAGTAATATTTTTGCTAGTAATATTTTTAATATATTTTAAATAATTATAATTTTATGTTGTACAGTATGTGACACACCAGTAATGAGTTGGAACGTTTAATCAGTCATTAAATTAAAAAGAAAGATTTTGTAAAGGCAATTTGTTAAATGACAAATAATTCCATGATCATTATTGAGTTATTAAATTGCGACAGATTTTTTATCTTCTGAATTCTTTTGCGATATTTATAAACTTTATAATTTAATAAACTGTGATGTCTCATATACCCGTTGACCTCGACTTACTTATTAATATTCACGTTTTGAAGCATTAGTTGTAAACTTTACAGCAAGCGTTGAAAATTGGAGCTCGCACTGTTATGGATAATGATAGTAGAAAGTGAGTTACGTGTCTAAAGCAGGTATTCCGAGTTTGGTGCGACAAAAATCTCATGACAGATATACTAGTGCATAGTTTACTAGCGCAAAGCCGGTATTAAATGCCTAAGAAATTGTTCTTCTTAACATTTCGAGTAAAATAACTCTCATGTGTAAAAGGAATCCGATATTTTTATGCACAATTTATGGAAATACATTATATCAATGCACACAGCCGCACTGTTTTACGAAAGCGAATTTATTGCAACGCGTACAGTAGTAGATACGCTTCCATCGAGCGATGTAAACGCCTCGGTGAAAGTTGGACTCAAGTTCGTCCGGTATACGAGACCTTATTCGCGCGAGTTGAACATCCTCGAAAATTGTCAGACCTACGCGAAGAGTACTCGTTACTCTTGCGCGCATGAGTATACATCGAAAATATTTATGGATTCAATAGAAGATAAATAGGAAACCTCAAACTTTTATGTAGTTTTTGATTATAAAAGTATTGCGTGAAGATACATAGCTACAATAATTATACAAGAAATACAAACACAACAAATGCAACAAGCAAGATACAAATAACACGTATAAATGCATTTTATGTGATGGAAATAGTTTTCCAGATGCGCATTTTACCTTCACGAACTATGCGAATTTTACCTTTACGAACTACGCGAATGTTTAATGTACTATTGTACATATAGTTCGTAAACAATCGTACAATTCATGCTACTCGTTACAAAGCTTATTGAACGAACAAATTAAACAAGTTAATTGCATGGTAGTATACTTTTGATAAGTACCGCGATTTACAATTCCATATCATGTGACTACGTACTTTTTCTACACATAGGCACTCTTTTATTTAGAGTACAGTGATCAATTATGTAACTTTTTGTTTATTTGTACTATAATTGTGCACACTTGTGCTTTTATTTAAACGTTTATATATAATATATATTTAATTTTATATTTAAAAGTTAAAAAGTTTACGTATGGAAATAATATCAAACTATTTTTAAACACATCGATAAGCTTTAATCTATTTTTTAAATGTCTCCTTTAGATAACACTTTCTTGGTATAAATCTTACAGAGAAGTGCCTACCAGATAGATACGTGATAACGCTGAAAACTAATGTGATAACAATACCACGAGTTAAAATTACTAGAAACACATCTGCTTTAAAAGTGATGTCATAACTGTTGTGTCATAAACTGTTCGCGACCTATGTCGAATTATCTGTGCAGCATCTAGACTCTTACTATAATACTTTTCCAGCTCACAAAAAAACTGCAATTAATTAATTGTGAGCAATTTAAAAATTTTTATTATCATTATCGTCATTACCTGTCCGTAATTACCGATAAGATAAGTTAGAAGACAAAAATAACGATAATGGTTTTTAATATTCTGGCTGAATGCATGCGTCGTCACGTAGTATGTAAATACATACAGAAATAACATCGAAATACAAATCCCGACATTTCCGTTCTCTAATCGTCGTTTCTTTTTGCAGGTTTAGATGCATTGGGTACTGCATTGCTAAGCGTCGGTTCGATAATCTCGGTACTAACAATATACTTTTCTGCCAATGCTTGTCGCAATATCTTCTCCCAAAAAGAATCGGATTTGTATAAAACAAATGCCATTATAATCATGTCAGTATATCCTGTTGCGAGCGTTTGCAGCCTAATGTCGATTGCGCTACCAAGGTAAAAAGTAAAGACCTATTGCGATTATTTAACGATATCGAAATGAGAGAAACTTCGCCATCAGCGAAGTGTAAAATGGAAATATGAGCATTGCACCGTTGCTGTTTCCACTTTATGCTTTTACGTTCATTTTAGATTTGCAATTCAAGACAGAGTTCTAATTGTAGTTTTACGTACACGTGAAAATTTCTAACAAAATATTTTATTGTTGAACCACAATACATAACAAGTTATGAAACTGATCGTACCACGGACTGTTAGGAATCTCTTTCGTGCAGAGATACCCGTAGAAACGATCATACACACTTGTTTGTTTGTATGTTACACTGATAATGGAAGGTCTCAATACTCTTTCTTGATTTAATTAATCGTAGATAATTGCATACAATATTTATACAATACATATAATTAGTATCGCAAGTCACTGTACAAGCTCCGTTATTTTCTGTTAAAAAAAAACAATATTCTTAGGAACAGATTTTCTTAACACTTGTTTAAATATAAAAATGAGAAACTCGTAGACTTCGAGTATTTAGGAAAGATTAAGTTTAATGCTCCAGTAAAAAACCTAAATAGATAACTTAAAATTTCTCTTTCGCTAAAAAAATTTTTATATACAAAAAACCATTTTAAGATGAAGGAAAAAAGGAACACAATAAATCTAAACAATATATTATATAAGAACCGCCAAAGTGGGTCACAAGGCAGGATGTGGGTAGCCCAACTTGCAAATCTTGAACTTTAGTTGGGCTACCTACATCCTGCCTTGTGACCCACACCGGCGGTTCTTATATATTGTTTAGTTTTAAATAGGGGTCTCACTTAAAAGTTTATTATACAATAAATCTATTTATGTATATTACCACATCCAAAAACGACATAATCTCACTGTTCAAATACTAACCAATTTTTTAAATGCTAGTAGCTAGACAATAGCTAGCTAACTTTCTCAGCGCCATTTATTCCATTGTACCGTATAGCAACTAGACAAGCACTAGATAACACAGATTTATTCATAAATTCCAGCTAGTATTATACTAAACTAGCTAGATAACTATCTAGCCTGTGTGATACCATCATTAACTGTAAAATAAGATAAAATAAGATCGGTTAGATCAATTTCCATTCGAATATATGTAGCGAGGAAAGTCCCTTATTATGAGATAAGCTCTTAATATGAGATAACGAGGGTTCTGCTAAATCAATAAACATTATTTGTCGGTTCCACCGTGAATTTATTGCCCTGGAGTGAAATCTGTTCAGCGGGAAATGGATTGTTAATCGTGTAATCGTTGCGAAAAAAGATTTGCGATTGCATTTGGACGTTGAAAATCTACTATCCTATCTCATAATAGAGAACTTTCCTCTATATTAGAACAGAAAGACAAAACTATAAATAGAACTCTATTACGAATTATAGATTGTTTAAGAAAAAAATTCAATCAAAATGATAATCTTCTTTCAGACATACCTCGTGTTTCTCATTTATTTATCGACGTAAATTATCTGACGCATCACCTTTTTTTAGTACTTGACAACGCTGACTTTGCGAATAATGTTTGCATTTGTTAACGGTAATGCTTTCCTAAATAAAATTTTGAGAGCCTCTTGTGTTTCATACGTTAAACATTGATTTGATGATTCACTTGAAAATGTTATCAATTGCACGAGAGAGAATCTTAATCAAATATCTCTTCTTCCTACATTACAATCATTAATCATAAAACAAAACTGATAAAAGTAGATTTTATTAATTGCATTTTGAAGTTCTGTTATTTATGCAACGATTTCAATTTGTTGATCGATAACAATTTCCCTAGAGTTTTCCTAGAATTTCATTATTTTAACGATTGTTCATTTGTCTCGCGAAACTTGTGAGAATGATGTCCCTTCGACTTTCGACAGAGGCCAGTTGCTATCGGAGGCGGTAACTCAGATTTTCTTAATGATTTCGCTATATCGGCTCTATCTTCTCCTGCTGGATGTCGGTCGCCGGAAGATGAGCGAGACGCCACCGTTGATGCTACGAGTCGGGCCCTGTTGCTGCTGGCCCTGTCTGCCCTTTCCGAACCTTCAAATGACCGATGCCAATTTGTCTTGGATAGGAATCCTGGTCCTACAGCTTCCTATTGCCCAGGTAAAAAATTTCCCTCCCCATCCTCTTCACACGCTGCGATTATCGCTTCACTTATGCCAAATAACTATTATAACTACCGGGTAAGATGATTAAAATTTATGAAAATCAATTATTATTCACCATGGAGTATCAGGTTAAACATTTTCTCAATGTAAAAAACAATCGAAATATAGTCACATCTATTGCATTTACCATTTTAGCTGCATTAATTATGCTTGATTAAAATTGATTATATTAATTTCTTTCTCACAATCAGTATTAAAACATACCCTCACTGTTAAAGCAAATACGACTTTTGACATACGGAATTAGGATACATAAAATTGTGTGTTTGTGTCTATATAATATTTAAAAGATGAATTTGATAAAGAGTCTTAAAAATTGCCGACATTTTAGTAAGAAAATATTTATATTTTCAGAGTCTTCTCTACCTCATATTACTCTATATGAATGCTGAGGATACAATAGTTGCCACGCAATACGGCATATTCCTTCAGCCATTCATGGTAATCAGCATACTTTTAGGGATATACGGTCTAACTATTGCTACAAAGACTTTACATTCAGCAGTTCCAGGTAATGAGCGTATACGTTTATGTTTCAAAGTTTCTTTCACTACACACTTCACGAAAGTTTAAAATAAAAACATATATCTAAATTGCTTGCAACGCATGACTCATACAGCAGTTAAAAACATTAATGTAAAATGTACTTTCACGTAAAATAAATTATATATTAAAAATAGTACAAAGAGTCATATGTTGTCACGACGTAAGTTAAAAGCGTTGTTACGATAACTAATTACGAGTGTCGGCAAAATACAATTGTCAACGCGTTTTGTCAAAACTTGTGACAAGTTATTGTAGCATCAAAAGCTTTTGTCCCACATCTTGACAACATATCTTTTTGTACCGCTATTTTAATATACAATTTATCTTATGTACATTTCATATGCGTGCAGTGTACGTTAATGTTTTTAATTTCTGTATGAGACATACGTCGCGAGCGATTTAGATATACAAGAAAAGTCTTTTATTATAAGATAGAGCTCTAGTATGAGACATGCGTATGAACATGTGTAGAAATTATCACAAGCTTAATTGTCTTCCCACTCTTTTTTACGCCCTCCCATTTTCTTCTCATCAGAGAGAGAAAGGTGCACGGTATTCTATTGTCAGTCTCTGTCTACTTGATCCTTAGATTTCAGGCCTCATGCTCGGTCTATTCTTACTATGTCTATGTTAACATCCTATCACGGCTCTTAGCGCTTTTACTCCATTAGATTTGTTTCATTTATCATAATGTGATGTCACTCTTTTATTGCAATATATTATATTTAACATAATGAAAAATGTTTGAACTGAGAAAATACTTACATATTCTATTAATATATTTATTTTATAATATTAATCTTACTTAGAACATTATTATCAAATCTATTTACATCTGTTTACAAGAATATTTATTTTATAATAATTTTTATTTTAACTTTATACCATATATACACATATGTTACTTCTGATAATTTAATTTCATTTTTACTCGACGATGAGTTCAATTAATATTTATCTCTCATATCCGAGACACTTTCTACACATCTTAATGACAACTTATGCGTCTGTCGAAGAAAATTTACCATTGTTAAAGTCAACGCACACATATCTGTTGAGCAACAATAATTATGCTGGGATAATTGCTGACTGTTGCAGAACGTGGTTTTCGAGAAATTGCTGTTCATGCAACATTAATAGGAATGAAAGTTTCTGATCGATATCCGTTTCCGTTTCAGAGGCCAAATTACATTATAAGACGCTGGTGTTACAATTGGTATTGCTGTTCTCTAAGCTGCAGACAGCTATTATCAGGATTTTGCCTACCGCGGGCGTATTTCCGTGCAATCATCCACTCACCCCGGCAATTTATGCCAACGGTAATACATATATTGTCATTTTCGTTCTGTTTCGAGTTTTTATTTATTTCTACTGCATTCAAGATCAACGGTTAAAATTGATTTGAAAAATTAAATTATATGTACATACAAATATCGTAGCTTTCCAGCTGAGAAATCTTACTAATATTATTATTAAAGATATCTGCGATTAAATAACCATCAATACTATAAATGTTATCCAATTTATTTAGATTCAATTACTTAATTAATTATTTGATTGACCTACAGTTTTGTAAGAAGCCTATTCTAGACTGCCAGAAACTTTTGATGCACAGTAAATCTTAGCAGCACAATGTATTGGCGCAACACTGGGAAATAATATAACTCTAGTATTCCAAATATTGGTCCAATATTGTAAGATGGACGCCTTCTCTTATTTTGCCAATATGTCTATTTAACAATATTCATCTAATGTTGTATTAATATTAGAGCAATATTCTTATTACATTGCTAAATATTGGCCAACGCACTTCCAATATAAATCTAATATTATATAATCATTATCGTGCAATATAATACATTTATTTCGTAGCCAATGTCGGCTTTACGTTGGACAATATCGGTCAATGCATTTCTAATATAACCAACGTTGGGCGAATATTTCGCCAATATTTAGTCAATACACTGTGCTACTAGGAAAACAACATTTTTAAACATATTTATTTAATTATAATGTGTCCCGTTAAAATTATAAATAGTTGCTGTACATTTCGTATTAACTATAACAAAACGGACAATTAATAAATTATGGAACATTTCATCCGGGACAAATAAGCTGCAGGAATTGTATGGCTACTCGTATACCTTCGGCCGTATTTGATTCACTATTTACATTACGTTCTGGCTAGGGGCCAATAAAAGCATGATAATTTTTTACGGCCCGGTAGTTTCTTCAAACAGCACGATAGGATCATTCAACTTTGAATTTAGAATACGTCTCTACTTTTCACTGCTCCACGGACCTACAACCAACTGTAACAAAGAAACTCGTTTCACTGAAAAAAAGAGACGTCACGCAGCATCCGCGAGCACCATAAAAATTCACCCGTTGCACGCGCTACGAATAAATTTCTCCAAACAACATGAGACAGTATATCATTTGTGTCAAAAAGATCTCTTTTAGATATTCGTGTTGTATGATAATTTTACGTTATTGCATATTACATATTAATATTTTAGTCTTTTCTAATATTGATGAAATCATTATTATTATTAATTCCGCCAAAACCATGTCAGTTTCAAATATAAGAGGGCATTTCCAAATTCATTTTTTTAAACATATATTTAAAACCATATGTAGACGTTTAAAATAATTCTAAGACTACTATTAATGTTTTGAAACGTTTCACAATCTTGATAAATGCCTTCATTGATAACAGATAAAGTTAAACGTAATACAATTGATAACATCGCTTTATAATTTTCCTGTTCTCGATTTCAGTGACGTGCAACGCGCTGATATTAATGGAGATGTTTATACTTTGCTACGTCGCGCGGCACATATATTACGTCGATCTGGAGAAGAATAAAGAGACAGACACAACAGACAGAACGCCGAGGACACCAGGCCAGGTAGACGCGACGAGTAGCAACGACGGCAACAAACAGCCTCCAGCAACAGTGATGACCGCGTGATATTTGACGAGTCATCAAGATGTTATTTATTTGGAAAGACTTTCATCGAGAAATTTGTGTCTCTCGAAGGCACTCCTGACGCATGTAACGAGAAAAATAATGGATAGCGTAAGATAATAGATAATACTCATCGAGTAAAAGTAATTCGAAAGGTTATAGACTGTTACTACACTGACAAAAAATTTTTATGAATAATTTTCTTGAGTAAAGTAACATATTTTCGGACCAAAATATTTTTTTTATCAGCGTAGCTCGCTAAGATCGTACAGAAATAGAAATTATGTGCACATTTTAACGATTCGAGGCTGCCTTTCTCTAATCAATGAGAAGAGATGTTGTGCACTTTCACTTTTTATCCTTTTAATGCTTCTCGCATGCTGATAAGAATTTTTACTATGTACGTTGGAAATAAGTAGGAACAATGTACGAGTGTAAATCACGAAGAGTACAGATCTAGATTCTCCTTCTAAATGTAGTTTCTTGTAAATAGCAATTTGTATAACTTACATGATAACATTATTAAGCACACGAGCAAATGTACATATTATACACATAACTGCAGGGTTGGGAAGTAACTCGTTACGTGTAACGAAGTTACAGTTACAGTTACTTTTTTTTCGTAACTCTAACTTAACTTCGTTATTTTCTATCCATCGGTAACTGTAACTAACTAATTTAATAGTTGCATTAATACACTGAAAAAAA